ACACGACGCTCTTCCGATCTCCCCAAAACCCCAAAACCCCACATCTATCAATAATAAAAGTCATACAAATAGTTAAAATATAATAAGTATATAGATTAAATAAACATGAATACTGGTAGTAGTGGAAGTAGTAAATTCGGTAATTTGAACAAGCCTGCTTAAAATTCGTCATCTTAGCACTAAGTGTCTTCAAAAATCATGAAAATGAAGGTGAGATAATAAATGATATGATAAATACTATAATAGTTTATGCAAAGAGATTAACCTTAATAATCAATTACACTGAGTAAAGACTAAGTTTATGCCAAATAAGTCATAAAAAGTGTACCTACTTAAAATGGCATTTAGAAATCTTCAAATATAATTGAGAGCTCAGATGATCTGACTTAAATTAGCAATGAACAGCAAAGAAATATGGATTTCAAGAATACTTTCAATCCTTACTAGAAATTCTTCAATGTAATATTTTTCATTGATTAATTATTATTCATTAGATAAAGAGTAATTTCAACAATTTAGATAGTGATAGTGATTCAGATGATTCAGCAGAGCAAGATCACTAAGTTATTATTTAAAAGTAAGATTCAGATCTCAATTAAGAAACCTCTTAGTTTCCAAGAAAAAGTTTAAAATTGTAAGAGAACATTTGGTGGTCCGAATCAAAATAAATAAGAATAGAAGTCGTAATTAAAGCCTAATGATAAGATAGGCAATAACAATAGGTTCGAAAATGGAAGCAAAAAAAGATATTACAGTGAGTCTTCCAATAATTAGTCAAATTATGGGGATGAGAGAAATTCTAAAAATAGTCATTAAGGGGGTTAGAAGAGAGCTAGATATGAATGAGTTTTTTCTCATTTTTTGGAGTTTGACTGGAAGATAGATTATAAATATTAATTAATTAGTTTTGGATTATTTAATTAAAATTAGTAGTAGACAAATAAATCTATTAATCAGTTTAAACTCCCGTTAAGTTGACCTAAAGCCAGACCAGACTTTTAGGATTAAATCTTTTATTTTTCGGGCTTGAATGTATTCCTCAATTTTTCCTAATCTCTCAGTAAACTCAAAGAGGATCTGCTTCCTCCTGCTCCTATAGATTTCCTCAACGATTGTCTCTAGCTATTATTTTCAGACTGTTTTTTTTCTATATTAATTTAAGAATCAATACGAATCAATTACAATGCTGATTTCTCGTTTTCTCAAAGTAGGTTTTAATATTGCCTTCATAAGATGATTTAAATTCAGGACAGTCAATAGAAATATGATCACTAGAGTCACAAACATAGCAAGTTAGCTTTAGGTATTTATAGTTTCCAATATTCACTGAGTTCTTAATGATATTTAGCATTTTCTAATAATATATAAAGTGATATAGGAATTACCTCAGCATCTGGATACTATTAAGCTACAGTAAAGAAGTTTTCATAAGTAAGTTCTAAGACTTCAGTGAAATCTCTAGACTTCACAGTAGTTTACCTCTTTTTCTCTGAAAAGAAACCGATCTCACCAAAGTATTAATCTTATTTCAAGTCTCTGATGTAAGTTTAAGTCTTTCTATGAATGATAGTCACTAAACCTGTGACTATGAAATACATTGTACCGCCAGCATCTTCCTCCTAATTATCAAAATAAATTATAATAAATAATACCTAAACAATATTATCATCCATTGCAAAGGTTTGCTTTTAAAACTTCTTAGTGATATCACTTAAGAAATCAATGTCAAAGTTTTTGAAGACCTTGATATTCTTCAATATTCTCCCATTCAGGAGAGCTCTCATTTTTATTTCTAAATTTTTGTTCAATACAGCTAGTACTTCTTCCTAATCTAGCTTAACAGTTTTCTTAGAGTTTAAGATGTATTCCAAATATCTACGAATTTTTAATCTAAGCTCTTTAGGAATTTCTTTTCTTATCAGAAATTAGTTCACATAAGTCATCTTCTCTTTATATTACTAAGCATACATATTATGTTTGGTGACTAAACTACCAATAGAACCAATAGTATAAGCATAAACTACACATGATACTAGCATAGTAATTAAAGTCAAGGCTCTTTCTTTAGGCGTATTTGGGTGAATATCTCCATACCCAACAGTAGTCATAGTGGTGAAAGCCCAATAAAGACTGAAAATATATTTTGTACTTATGGGACTATGCTAAATTCCAGATGTTACAAGCCAGCAATCCTCATCATCAGGTAATTCACTTTCACCTACAACGTAAAAGAAGCAAGCGATCCAATGAGCAATAAAGGTAATCACAATAATTAGCTTGATGAACTTTATCACTATATTCATTGTCTCTGAAGCAACATTTTCTTCTAATCTAATAAATATTCTCTAGAGTCTTAAGACTCTAAGTAATCTAAGTATTCTGATGAATCTCATAAACTTTAGAAGTCTCAAAAGCTATGGTGTTTTAGAATTAGCATCATTTGAATCATCTATATCATCAAAGTTGATGAACCATGAATACGGAAAACTAGCCAGTAAATCTAGGACAAACCTAAATATCAAGATTAGTTTGATTATATTAATTACCAAGTCTTAAGATAATTCATAATAATTTCTTTTCTACTCATTATTAGTACTCCTTTTCTGTAAAATCCAGAGTTAAAGTTAATCACTGATAGATTATTTAACATTAATAACCTTACTTATATCAATTAGGAAGAAGACATCAATAACAGTATCAAAGATCAAAAGTGCACCCTCTGCTTTGATTCCAAATGAGATATTAAAAGGTATCATGATTGACTATATTACAATGAAAACAAAACCGACACAATCCCAGGCTGTTTTAACACTGCTCTCAGGAAAGACTGTGAATTTACTTCTCACCATGTGCTTTCTCTCATTATCTAAATTATAAATAATCATGATTAAGTAGGTAGCTTACTTTCAAATTCATCATCTGTGCTCTCATCATAGTCATTAGTAGTTTGATCTTGTTTACCATCAGTACCTTTAAGATTTGCACTCTTCTTTGAAACATCGCTTCTCTTCTCACTTAGTTTATAGCCAAAACTTGAATTTGACTTCTTGAGAGTATGCTGCCTGCCATGATTCTTGACTGTGTTACCATCATCATCACTCTCATATTCATCGCTGCTTATACTTGAGTTCTGCTATTTTAATACCTTTCTATACTCTCTAATCTCTCTTTTTTTGCTTTCAACATCCACACTACTTGGCTAAATAGTTGTAGTTTACTGTGCCAAGGTATTTTCAGTTTACAACTAGTTTGTAGCCAACCTATCTTAAAGCCCACCTTGCCCAGGTAAAAGTAGTGGAATCAGAGGCATTCCAGCAAATGATCCAAAATTAGTCTAAGCATTAGTATTCGACATCTCTTTGTTATTTTAAATCTAGTCAATGGTTTGCATCATAATAAAGTTTGGGGCTTGGTATCCAGTCATTGTCAATGGATGATATGTCATATTGTTTGTTGGGTTTTACTAGTTAAGATTATTTTGATTTTGGATTTCGTTTTGAAATGATTAATCTTATTTATGCTCTTGAGAGTTCAAATTTCTGCTTGAATTAATGTTTAAGCTGTCATCCCTAGCACTATCAGGCTATTATTCTCCAATGTCGATATCTATAAATTATTTGAGTTTAAAAAGAGTGATTGTTAATACCTTGAAACTCATCTTCTTCAATCTGCTAATTAGTCTTATTCTAAGTTTACTTTTACTCCTTTCCTTCCATTGATATATTCTAATTTAAAAATATTATTCACTCTCTTACCTCATTATTACTTATGTCTGGGGTTTTGGGGTTTTGGGGTTTTGGGGTTTTGGGGTTTGGG